CTTTCCGCCACGAATCACCGGTCGATAATGTTCTCGATAAACTAGTAGGTTTATATAAGACCAACTTCCGACCAAGTATCGATTTGTAAGACGCGCTTACAAAGGCCACTCGGAAGATTGATTCTTCTTACTCTCTTTATTCAACTGATTACCGGGTTCTAGAGGATGACTATCTATACGTTGGCAACAGATTAAGCGCGCATAGGGTCGCCCCTCTGCAGCGTTCAGGCAAGGAGCATCTAGGGGGATATATATATATATATATATTGTATATATATACAGCCCCTCGTTTGTTGTCCTCTTCTCTCTCTCTGCCTACGGTTTACCGGGCAGTTCTATTTGTGATGATATATATATATATATATATGTCCTCTTCTCCCTCTCTGCCTACGGTTTACCGGGCAGTTCTATTTGACGATATATATATATATCGCTCACACAGGTACTGGTGGAGGTGAGAGGAGCACCCCTCACTGCTTCTCATTTTGCAGATGCTCCATGGTGGGGAGCAGCTTCTGGTATGGGTCCACAGACTCCGCACACATTACAAATATACACAGAGCCTATGGGCACATATATATATATACAGAACACACACACACACACGCACACACACACGCACACACACACACACACGCACACACACACGCACACACACACACACACACGCACACACACACGCACACACACACACACACACACATGTATAGGGCTGGGAGGGGGTCACGACCAACTGATGGTATGCGGGTTATTAGTTGGTCTACTTAGGGGGTAATACGTGATTGCTTGAGCCTGGCGTCTGAAGTTTCCGTGCGACGAGGGTCGTTCGACTACGCTTCCTCCAAGGCTAGGTCACTAGCCCGGGTGCCTGTGATCTCTGTTCGGTGTGCAAGTTCCCTTCGATACTGGTAGGGTAATGGTTCTGAGTGCTGGTCACATAGAGGTAGGATAGTAGGAATAGGGGGTGCGCTAGGAGTATTGATGCGATGATGGGATGGGAGGAAGCCTCGTCCTGTCAGGGCAACTATAGCTGATCCCCAACCCCCGGCCCCTCCAAATCACCCCCTCATGTGCCCC